TGGATTAAATCCATTGTATCAAACCCATTTTCTTAAACACACTGGATTAAACCCATTTTATTAAACCCACCTGACAGATGAATTTAATGATTGACACAGCAAAATTAAAGCCCAGTTCTTCAAATAAAATAATTTTCCCAACAAACCCCAAATTTTCCATCAGACCAACCTGTTTTGCCTGAGGTAAACCCTTCCAATTCCATAGTGTGCCAAACAAAAACAACTTTCTTCTGGATATTCCTCAATTATTTTCTTAAACTGAACTTCAGCTTTTGCCAATGCCTTCAAAAGAAACGTGAGACACAAATAAGGGAGTTTTGCCAGAATATTTTCATTTTTCCTGGTTTTTTTCCCAAAAGAATTCTTGGTTCAGGATCAGAATATTCCTGTCCAAAACATCAGTGCAGGGCAGAAATCAAAATTATTGATTGTAATTTCTTGATACTCATTTAAAGGCTTACAAAGAAATTTTATTTGATAGCCAAATTCCAAAACTATCAAGGATTTAGTCCCAAATATTCAATTTGGACAATTCCAAAAGGTGCCCAGAGGTTTCTCTCCCCTCTCACCTTCCCAACCAGGAAGATACAAAAAAATCTGAGCTAAAAACTGGAATTAAGGAGTATTTACATATAAAATAAATAAAAAGAAATAAATAGAAATATATGCTTTAAATACACATAAATTGGAATTNCCATTGGATTAAATACACTTGGATTAAATCCATAGTATTAAATATACACTGGATTAAACTGATTTTATTAAATCCACTGGATTGAATCTATTGTAATAAAGCCATTTGATTAAATCTATTGTATTAAATCCATTTAATTAAACCCATTAGATTAAATCCATTTAATTAAATCCACTGGATTAAATTTATTGGATTAAACCCACCAGATTTATTTTATTGTATTAAACCCATTGTACTGAATCCATTGGATTAAACACACTTGGACTAAACACACTTGGATTAAATCCATTGTATTAAATCTATGGGTTTAAACCCACTGGATTAAACTAATTTTATTAAATCCACTGGACTGAATCTATTGTATTAAATCCATTGGATTAAACCCATTAGATTAAATCCATTTAATTAAACCCATTGGATTAAATCCACTGGATTAAATCTATTCGATGAAACCTGGATTAAATTTATTGCATTAAACCCATTGTACTGAATCCACTGGATTAAACACACTTGGATTAAATCCATAGGATTACGCCCACTGGATTAAACCCACTGGATTTAATTTATTGTATTAAACCCATTGTACTGAATCCATTGGATAAAATACACTTGGATTAAATCCATTGTATTAAATATACACTGGATTAAACTAATTTTATTAAATCCACTGGATTGAATCTATTGTAATAAAGCCATTTGATTAAATCTATTGTATTAAATCCATTGGATTAAACCCATTAGATTAAATCCATTTAATTAAACCCATTACATTAAATCCATTTAATTAATTACACTGGATTAAATCTGGATTAAATTTATTGTATTAAACCCATTGTACTGAATCCATTGGATTAAACCCATTAGACTAAATCCATTTTATTAAATACAGTGGATTAAATCCACTGGATGAAATTTATTGTATTAAATCCACTGTATTAGACCCACTGGATTAAATTTATATATATAATTTAATTAACAACTATATACATATATAATATATATAATATATATAATTATATATAAAAATATTTTAAAATTAATAACTATAATAAATTTTAAACCCATTGTGCTGAATCCATTGGATTAAATCCATTGGACTAAACGCATTTGATTTAATTTATTGTCTTTAAATCCATTGGATTAAACACATTTGATTTATTGTCTTTAAATCCATTGGATTAAATCCATTGGACTAAACACATTTGATTTAATTTATTGTATTTAAATCCATTGGATTAAACGCATTTGATTTGATTTATTGTCTTTAAATCCATTGGATTAAATCCATTGGATTAAACACATTTGATTTAATTTATTGTCTTTAAATCCATTGGATTAAATCCATCGGACTAAACACATTTGATTTGATTTATTGTCTTTAAATCCATTGGATTAAACACATTTGATTTAATTCATTGTATTTAAATCCATTGGATAAAAGCCACTGGATTAAACACATTTGATTTAATTTATTGTATTTAAATCCATTGGATTAATTGGATTAAACACATTTGATTTAATTTATTGTCTTTAAATCCATTGGATTAAACACATTTGATTTAATTCATTGTATTTAAATCCATTGGATTAAACACATTTGATTTAATTTATTGT